CAAAAATAATATATAAAAAATAAAAAAAATAATTTTTTTACCTAAACTGGATCGGTCAAAGGTCTAATCAATGCACGGTTTGGTCCGACAGTTCGGTCTGGCATCAACAGTTCGGTCTGGTTAAGACGATTCGACATCAGCGGTTCGAGGACAGTTTGATTCGATCTGAGTTGATTCAGTTGAACCGGTCAGAGGCTAAGGGATGGACAAGTCGTCGAGTCAAATGCGCAGACCCCAAGTCAGGTCATGGGTTGAGACACAGATCCTCATGGGCTAAAACGACGTCGTTTTGGTCTTTATTAAAATAGTGTCATTTTGGCTCTGGCAGTTTATATAAAAGGTCCAAAATTTTTTTTTGATCACTTATTCCTTTTCCCAGAAAAAAAACCTCTCCCTCACTCTTTTAAACTCTCTCTTTAAGATAATCGGTTGATGGTCGTCCACAGTGTTGGCCGTCGGTCATTGATCGTTGACACCGTCGCTGACTATCAAAAAATCTCAAAAACTCCTAAAAAATTTCCCTTTGCCCACTGAGCACAGATCTGAGCTTGGTTTCACCTGTAAGTGTCCCAAATAGCCTAGATCAACTTTCAAACTTTCGGTCAAACCCTCTTTTTTATTTTGACTTTCTTTTTTTTATTGATTTTTTTCTTTTTGTTTGCAGGGGCTCTGGGCGCTGGGTTCCCATTCCAGTGGATTGTTTTTTTTTTTTAATTTTTTTATAGGGTATCCTTTTTTTGACAGAAAGCTTTTTTTTTTTATTTTGAAAATTTTTTAGTAATTTTTTTGATCCTCCTTATTTTTTGGTGTCAAAATCAAGTTCTATTTATAAAAGCCTTTTGGGATTCAAATCTTTCATTTTCAAGCCGAAATTTACTCTGCCAAGTTAGGTAAAGTGTCAAGCGGTTGCCGGTGGTGGCGGCGGTTGGGATTTTGGACTTGCAGTAATGGTGCATTTAATGCACTTACACTTTTGTTAAATTAAACTGGAGAAGGAAAGAAGAAGAAGGAAAAAGAAAGAAAGAAAAAGAAAGAAAAAATAATAATAATAATAATAATAATAATAATAATAATAATAAAATACAAAATGTTGTTTACAATTAGCCATACAAACAACCTTCTTTTCACAATTTAGGTTGCAAGGATCAAAGATTGGGAAAATTAAATTAAGCTTGAGAATAGTTTTCATGATTGCCTTCTTCTTGTTATATAAGCTCTTTCCTTCAATCAAGACATGCTTTTCCTTGTACAATTAACTAAAAGGGTGCAAATTGCATGCAATCCATAGGAGTACGAGATGAAGCTGCATTTGTGAATATATTAAGAGTTAATATTAAATTTTATTACTATACTTTAATTTCATTAAATTTTAATAATATGTTTTTAAATAAAATTTTATTACTTACATAGATAGAATATTTTAATTTCGTTATATTTTAAAAATTTAACAAAATTAAAAATATAATGATAGAAATAAAATTCAATATTAAATCCTAAAATAATGATAAATTTGACCTTAATTTTCTATAAATATTGATAAATTTTTATGGGTTATAAACTTAGTTTTGAATGGCACCAACATTTGAAGCCTTATTATAAAATGTCGCTGCCAAATCAATTAAGCTTCTTTGACAGATTGATGTTGCAGATTTTAGGTAAAACAATTAGTAAAAAAAGCTACAAATCTTACTAACCCCAAGAATTAGCCCATAAAATTAGAGTTATAAAATCTTTTCTTGGAAAATCTTTAAGAACAAAGTATATAAAATTATTAAGACCCCCCAATTATAAGCAAAAAAATATCTCCACTTTTTGTTTTGTTATATAGTTTAGGTGGGTAAGTAAGGATATTTTAAAGCTTTTAGCACATGAAGAAGCATGCTTGGATCCATCCACCGACAATGCAATGGTGGCCATAATCTAGGGTTTTGAGGAATTTAAAACCCTAAACAAGAAAATTAATTAATGGAAGAAGCTATATTGGGAGAAGATAGACCCTTAAAGATAAGGGACCCTTCCCTTGTCCTAAACAAGATGAAGAATCCAATATCTTGTGTGTCATGCATGACTAATAAAATTAAGTTGCAATTTTTATATATTCTTATGAAATATAGCATAAAACTTATTCATTGTCTAAAATTGATTGAAATTTGGATTAGCTATATTAAGATGAAACTTCCTTCAGGCTCTTTTTTTTCTTTTGTTACTATTAATATTATTCTACTACTTAATTTTTTTTTCCTTTTTTGAAGAAATGAAAAATGAAAGTGTGTTTGAATGCAAAATGTAAAACTGTTTTCAAACAATTAAATATTTTAATAATACAAAAATAACTTTGTTTGAATATATATAATTTTACTTATGTATAGAAAGATTATTTTCAGTTGATGTTATATTTCATTTATTTGATTATTTTTAATCCAATAGGATTTTGATATATACTTCAACGTTTACTTATGCTTTATAATAATAACTAGAATTAAAGAAGTAATAAACCAATTAGAAAATGAAACTTTAACTGATCAGAAGAAGACCCATATTCCTTTAATTTTTTGTTTCAAGCTTGACATTAGTTTACTAGTATTAAGATCAATTTTAAAATTAAAAATCTCAAATTTAAACTTCAATAATAACTCTTAGAGGAAATAAAATATGTCCAAAATTTTATACAATCTTTTTATAATTTGATTGGAAAATGATTAGAATTGAAAAAAATTCCTTTTTTTCTTTTTCATGTTTAGTTGATTGAAAGGAACACATAGACTATTTCTTTGTTACTGACAATCTAGTGACCAATTGTTCTTTTGCCCTTTTCCTCTATTATAGTGATTAATGCAGTACAGGGTGACTGCCTTAAAGCAGTACTTGGTGGTTGAAATTCTAACCTAGAACTTCATGCTAGTTTTCTTCATTATGAAAGAGGTTGTAAATTAAAAATCTCCTTCATTTATTATTAGTTTCTTTTTTTTATGGATAAATCAAATCATTGATTTATTAATGCTATCAATGTTAATTAAGGTAAAATGAAATTAAAAGCTCACCTAGCAAAGTAGAGCATGAACAAAATAATAGACCAAAAAGTGGAAAATAAAAGAGAAAAAAAGAAGGAAAGAAAATGAAGTGTGGGGTTGGATTGGAGCTTGGAAGGAGGGAGATGGATACAAATTAACAAGAACAAAAGCTCATTAGATCCTTTGACAATAAAGTAATTTTAGGGACCACTTTACTAAAAATTATATAAAATCACTTTAGTTTTAGTTATAGGATTATTATTGATTATTGTTCTATATATATGCATACCCTCAATACAATTTTTAAATTTTACAGATAAAATTAAAATATTATCATATATTTTTGTAATTATTATATTAATTATTTAATTATTTTTTAATAAAATGTGTGAAATTAGAGAAAAGAAATGTTAATTTAATAGATAGAGATAATTAATAAGAGGGTTAATCAATTGACAACGACAATGCTTAAGGCATGTTTTACCAAAAAGGTTGAATATGAAAAAGAGAATGAATTCTAAAAAAAGAAAAAAAAGAAAGAAAAAGAGAATAAAGAAGAGACGAAGACTCAAAAGACTTTGGCTTTGGCTGCAGAGAAAAAAGAGTTAAAGGTCACATGCTCCTATGAAAACAACTGTTCTTCTAAAGGAAGAAGGAAGCAAAGCATGGCTAGCAGCCTTAACTTTCAACTTCAAACTAAACGGTGAAAATTACTTTGACCCTAATTTAAGCGTATAATAATACTGATTTTATTACAAAGAAATAGCCAAATACTATCATCAGAGTTCTTTTTTTTTTTAATTGTAGTTAGAAAAAACAAAAAAAAATGAAAATTCAATTTTTTGAATAAAGAGATACATATGTTATCATTAAATTAAAGGTTAGAATATTTTTATATTCTTTTATTATGTGAGTGTCATATTACAAATTATTATAATTTTACAAAAATAGAGTGCACATAAATATGAAACATTGATATTATCTCACCCATGCATGAATTTTACCTGTAAAAATTAGAGGGAATATTAATCTATTTTTAACTTAACAGTCAAATATAATAGTGATTTTCTTTAATATCAAATGCTGTTGATAAAGTTTTTGTGAATTTTAAAAACTTCACCAATAAAATTAAATAATTTTTACCTGTTTTATTAAGATATATTTAAAATAATTAATAAATTAATATATAAATATAAAACATTTGAATTTTTTAATTTTATTTATGAAATTTAAAAACTTCATAGATAATATATTGAATAATAATTCATTCTTTAAATTTTAAATTTTTTTTATTTATATTTTAAAAATAAAAATATAAAAACATCTACAATGAAACTAGAATTAACAAATTAACAATTAAGGTAAGTTTAAATAAACAAATCAATTATTTAATAATTTTAACTTGTAAAGCTGGAGTGTTCTTAAAAGGGAAAGATTTGGATAAAATTTTTTAAGTAAAATTTATGAATTTTTTTATTAAAAATGATTATATAAAAATTAATAGATTAAAAGGTTTTATTGCATAGATTAAGTGTATAAAATTTTAAAAAAAATTAATAAAATTTGATATATTTTTTAGATGGATATTTTTAGTAAAAATATTGATAATTATAAATATTATTTTTAATTATTTTTACATATTATTGATTTTTATATTAAATTCTATCAATCTATTAATTTAAATTTTATATTAAAACTTTTATTAAATAATTTAAAAAATCATAAATTTCACCAAAAATATCGACCTATTCTTATATCAAACAATTTTAAATACGACAGATGATACGATATAAAAATTATACGAATAAAAGATACACAAATGACATAACTTAAAATTTTAATAAAAATCATAAATAAATTAAATAAAATCAAAAAAATATATTTTATATTTTTATATTAGCACAAATTATAATACATAATTTTTATATAAAACATTATATAAATGTATAAATCATCGATATTTTACGCTATTCCGTTCTTAAAAGGCCATCTCTCCCTCCCTCCCTTTACTCCTCTTTGTAGTCTGGTTGGCGAACTTGAAAGCCAAACAAACTGAAGGTTGAGCCTAGAAAAACACAACACTGTCTCCCTTCTCTCTTCCTTGAGAACCAAGTACTTCCATAAAAAAGCCTTAACATGACCTTCAGGCTCCAACCTTGGTCAAGACAATGAAGAAGAGCTGGCCTGGAACTGAGATTCTGAGAGTGTAAGAGTAAGACAGCAAAAGACAGAAATGAAAATGGTGCAAAATGGTTCTGTTGGAGATGAAGAAACGGTGAGTTCTGGTGGAGGAATGCTGGTTGTTGGGGTGAAACTTGATTCACCAAGTAGAGAGCTTTTAACATGGGCTTTGATTAAGGTGGCTCAGCCTGGTGACTGTGTGATTGCTCTTCATGTTCTTGGTAACAATGGTTAGTAAAAATTTGGTGTTTTTTTTTTTCTTTTTCCCGTTTCTTGATTTACATTTTTTTTAAAATTTTGTGGGGTTTGATTTTTGGGTGGCTTAATGAAGTGGGGAGCTGGTTTTTTATGTGTGTAGAAATTGTAGATGGAGATGGGAAGTCTTCGCTTTTATCGCTTGTCAAAGCGTTTGACTCTGTTCTTGCTGTCTATGAAGGTTTCTGTAATTTGAAACAGGTTTAGTTTCACGATCTTCTTTTACTCTTTCTATGCTTTTAAGTTTTAACTTTTTTAATGATAAATTTGTTAATCTCATCATATTCTGTTTGGTCAACTGGAAAACGAAGGAGAATCAGAAATAGAAAATTTACCTTCCCCTGCTTGCTCATAAAGAGTTGGTTTTTGGTGATCATCTTGCAGGTGGATCTCAAACTTAAGATATGCGGAGGTTCTTCAATTCGCAAAATTTTAGTAAGAGAAGCAAAATCTTACTCCGCAACTAAGCTTATAGTTGGAACCACCGCCAAATTCCATACAATCCGTTCAACGACTTCGGTAGCAAAGTACTGTGCTAAGAAACTAACAAAGAACTGTTCAGTTCTTGCTGTTAATAATGGGAAAGTTGTGTTCCAGAGGGAGGGCTCTCCAGCTACCACTTTTGGTTCACAAGGTAAAAAAATTTTGTTTTGGCTATCCAGTTCTTGGATGTTAAAGTAAATTTTTCATTGCTACTAAGGAATTTCTTTGTTTTGTATTTGTTGCAGGAAGTAAAGATCAGAAACGAAATGGCTTGCTTAATGCAATTCAGCGAACGATGACATTGAACAAGAATTCTGAAGAATTAAGTGAAGGAAATGCCAATGTCGAGACCAATCTGAATTCTGATGAAACCTTACTAAAAGCCAGTTCAGGCAGCTTGGAGACTGCTCCAAAGCAAAATTGCTCGATTTGTGGATCCGGTAATAGGTTGTTGCTGCCTAATTCTTGTCACCTATCTGCAAAAGAATCTTCTGGTGGTGGTGCTAATGATGGAGACACATCCTTGGCTATAGTGCCAGTGCAAAAGGCTGAGGCTGCATCTAGTTCGATTTCTAAGTTGATCAAAGAGTTGCCTGAAATCAGACCCGGTTGGCCTTTACTTCGCCATGCAGTTTTATCAGATCGGCAACAAGTTCCTGATCGGTCTTCGTTGAGGCAGATATCTGTGGTTGAGTGGGTGATGCGGTTGCCCTCTAGGCATACTTTGTATGTAGCCAATTCAAATCAGAAACAAGAAGGCTGCAATCAGAGCGAATATAAGTCCTCTAATTTTGATGGAGAAAGAAGTGCAATTGTTCCAGTTGGTACGGAGAATGTCATTGCTGCACATTCTCCTGATCACAACTCAACAAACCTTAGAAAAGAATTGGAGGGTTTTCATGATAAATACTCTGCAACTTGCAGATTATTTAAGTACCAAGAACTCCTCTTAGCAACATCAAATTTCTTGGCTGGTTTGTTTTATTCATCATTCCTCCCTGCAACAATTTACTTTCCTCCATCCTCAGGAAATTTGGTTGACTTGACCTCTTTTTTTTTTTTTTAATTTTTCAGAAAATTTGATTGGAAAAGGTGGCAGTAGTCAGGTTTATAGGGCTTGCCTTCAAGAAGGCAAGGAACTGGCTGTGAAAATCCTAAAGCCTTCTGCAGATGTATTGAAGGAGTTTGTTTTGGAAATTGAGATTATTACTACATTACATCATAAGAACATTATTTCCCTCTTGGGCTTCTGCTATGAGGAGAACAATCTTCTCTTGGTTTATGATTTCTTATCAAGGGGTAGCCTTGAAGAAAACCTCCATGGTAAGTAAATGCACAATATTCTTGGTTTTGAGATTGAAAAGAGATTAGAGCTTATTATGTTGCTTGATATGGGAAGTTAATTGTTCAGATGCTTGCTCAGGTAATAACAAGGATCCTGGTGCCTTTGGTTGGACTGAAAGATACAAGGTCGCACTAGGGGTAGCAGAGGCCTTAGATTATCTCCATACTAACAGTGAGCACCCTGTAATCCACAGGGATGTTAAATCTTCAAACATACTACTATCTAATGATTTTGAGCCGCAGGTGCCTTTCATTTTTTACTTCCAAGTCTTTTTGCTTTCAAATTTGAAATGTTTCAAGAAAAATTTTCGTGTATTCTACCTGGTTTATGCAGCTCTCAGATTTTGGACTTGCTAAATGGGCATCTACCTCTTCTTCACATATAACCTGCACAGATGTTGCAGGCACCTTTGGGTATGTAATTTTCACTTCCAGTGCTCTAGCTTACTGGTTTCTGACCGTGTTCTTGACTTCTTTCACTTCAAGGGGTAATATAATGTACAAAAATGAAAATTTCCTTGAGATTACTTGAAACAATTTAAAATTTTGTAGGGAAAAGAGTTGTTACAGCTTATTGATTAGTTAATAATATTTACCATTTGCTCCAGCTATTTGGCTCCTGAGTACTTCATGTATGGCAAAGTGAACCACAAGATTGATGTTTATGCATTTGGGGTTGTGCTGCTTGAGCTACTTTCTGGAAGAAAGCCTATAAGTAATGACTATGCAAAAGGCCAAGAGAGCTTGGTCATGTGGGTATGTCCTTTTTGCTAATGTGACTCATCATTTTAATCCACTTTTCAGTTTTGTGCTTAAAACAAAATTTGACCTTGTCCAGGCAAAACCAATTTTAAGCGGTGGGAAGGTTTCGCAATTATTAGACCCTAGCTTGGGTTACGGCTATGATCGTGACCAGATGGAGAGGATGGTTCTTGCTGCCACGCTTTGCATTAGACGTGCCCCACGGGCTAGACCTCAAATGAGTGTGGTAAGTCATCTTTGACCTTTTCTAATCAGGCTAGCTTTTTCTATGTACGACTTTGCTGGTCGGTCAAGTCCTTCTGGTGGCACAGGAGTAGGCACAAGAGAGAAAATTAGTTTTCTTTTATTATTATTATTGTCTTTATTCTTTAGTACAGAGTAGAAAAGGATAAGGTGAAAAGGTGTATTATGATCTGCTTCAAAAAGGGTAATTGTTTGTTTTGGCACTTGGAGCTGAATTATGCATTTTGTGCTTGTATCTCAGTTGCAATAGCATATATCGGTGATAAAACCTTTGTTTAAGCAGATGCATTTACAGTTGATTCTTGGATGTAAAAATAGATAATTAGTTTTGTTTAATGTGTTGGCCAAAGGTTGTGAAGCTCCTTGAAGGTGATGCTGATGTGACAAAGTGGGCAAGACTCCAAGTCAATGCCTCGGAAGGATCTGAAACATTGGATGATGAAGCTTGTCCTCGGTCAAACCTCCAATCCCATCTTAGTCTTGCATTACTTGATGTGGAGGATGATTCACTCTCCATGAGCAGCATTGAGCAGTCAGTGTCATTAGAGGACTACCTGAATGGTAGATGGAGCCGTTCATCAAGCTTCGACTAACCACACAATACACTGGCAAGGCTAAGGTGCAAATAAGCAACTATAACCATTCATGGTTTTTTCCCCTTGTATATTCTTTTGTTTTTATTTTTTACTCTTTCCTTTCAATGGAGTTGCTTACAGTAGGCGTTGGATGAGAGGTTGTTTGCCTGGTGTGCCCTTCTCCTTTCTTATCTATTTAATCAATGTTCTGAATTTTTGGGGCTTCTTGCTCAATTCTCCCTTTTTTTTTTTTTTTTGTTATTGTTCTTGTAAGTGCTGGTTTTGCTCCTTGGTCACAATTAGATTAGGAGTGGAATATATTGTATTGGTGAAAGCTAACTGTGTTGTAATCCGAGATTATTTCTCTCATAGAAGTGAGTATAAAGTAATCGTTGCTATATGAATTTTTTTTTTTTTTTATAGAGGTCATAATCAGAGAATATGAGATAGGATCGCATGTGTAGGAATTCAAATCTCAAATATAGTAGATGTCATCTATAATTATATGAATCAATTGAGTAAACTTGTAATTTAATCATTGCTTTGAATTTGCCTAAGCTTTGGCTAATAAGAGCAGTTTTGCTTGGAACTACATTTTATATTTGCTGTTAACTTTTATTGTTCATAGAATGCCCACACAAGGATCCACAAAAGTCATTTTCATCTTTCCAACTTGTTGCTGTTGCCATCAAATTGACTTTTAACACACTATTTGAAGATTCTCTCGACCCACTCAGTAAAACCCTTCTTTTGGTTCCTGACTTTCTGCTGAAATCTTTATTTCTTTCATAAATTTCATCACTGTCTTAGACACCACGAAAAGTTATGAAATTGTACTACTATAATAGGACTACTAAATGGAAAAGTGATGCCACGGTCACAACCATCCTTTAGGAGTCCACTTCACTCACTCACTCCAGACACTTGATTTCCTTCAGCTCCTTGCCCCTTCCTCCCCCATGGCTTTCTTCTTGTAAGCATGTTGATGGGGTTTTGGAGGGGACAACTGGAAGCTATGCTTGGAGGCTGTTGAGTTATTGATTTGTAAGACAAAAAACGGTCAAAGGGTGTCGGAGGTAAGTTTTTGGAATGTATTCCGATACTCAAAATAGTTTATGTGAGAAAAGTAAAGAAATATGAAAAAGATTAGATAGTTTGAGAATAAGTAAAGAACTAGAATGATTTAGTTGTGCTTCAATTTTCTTTTTATAGTGAGATGGAGTATTGCTTGAGTAGATGGATAATTAGTCGGATATTAAGTTTTGACGACAGGATGATTGACAAAAATCAAATAGTTGATAATAATTAATTTGACAATAAAAGAATTGACTTTGATGATTAAGATATAATAAAGTAAATACCAATTAACATGATCATCCCATACAACTATTTATAATTTAGAAATAGGAACTTGACCAAACAATTTGAGAAGTGTATTATTTTGTTAGTTAAAACATTTTATTTGTGATTTGTAACTTAAAAGAGTAAAGGGTCACGTAAAGTCTCTATCTTTACACTATGATGCCAACAGCTATCACTGTTGAATTAGTTGGTTTTCATGTGGCTTTCCCCCTCCGAATAGACATTGAATTTGGGCTACTTTCATGTTCATGCTGCCATCAGCATCTTCCATTTTCATCCATAGAAACCTTTCTCTTTAAGTCATTTGGTGTGTCTATACCTCTTTCCAAAACTACATCAAACCATTATCTCTATATGAAGTAAAGGTCAACCTCTATCTCCATTGCTATCCAACCCCCAAGTTTTCAGCTTGTCACGACAGCCCACGTTCTCCCCCAAGATATCCCCACTTGTGTTCCTTAAAAAGATTTGAAAAGGAAATTTATGATCTTTCTAATTTTAGAGTATGGGATTTTGTATGGCTCTTGTTGGAATGTCACATACATATGATACGAAATAACTTCAGGTTTTGCCAAATTGGCCGGTTGGGTCAAATGGTCGAGGTAGGAAGGAGGATGAGACTGGCTTTGTGTAATTGGGATTGAAAAATAGTTGAAATGTGGGGTTTTATTTGGCCAGCAAGATGGGCTAGTTTACCATAGGTATTACATATCCAGAATTACTAGGATTAGGATGGAAGCATTTCACTTATAGTTTTTAATAGTATAATATCATAATTATCTAATCATAATAAAAGATTATATAAAGATTCATTATTTATAAATGTAAATTTCATATTAGATCTTATATAATTTTAAATTATAATTAATTAATTATTATGTAATAATTATAGGTGACAAGTTCTTAGATTAGAATGATGCCTCGTGAAATTGTTTTATTGTCTATTAAAAAGTATAAAGCACTTATGTAAGGCCTAAACTAAAGAAATTATACTATATTTTTAACAATGTTTGGTAGGAGTGAGAAAAGTGGAGAAAATTTAAAAAAAAAAAGTAAAAAAAAAAGAGAGAAAGATTTTTTTTATTTAGTATACAAATAAAGGAAAAATTAAAGGTAAAATTGTAAATTAAATTATTAATTTAAGTTAAATGAGTATTTTTCTTAAAAAGTTAAAATGAAGATTTTATTCTATATTCAAAATATTAATTTAAAAATGTGTAAATTTACTCGTATTCAAATAAAATGTAAAAAATATAAATAAATGTACGGCTTGCTCAAGGCCTCCCACGTGTCACTCTTATTTTTTTATATTTAATAAATATTTTTAAAATATTTTTATAGGATTCACAATCACAAGACATTTTTTTTCTTTTTTTCCTATTTATTTTTTATTTTCTTTTTTAATATTAAAAAAATATTTTTTAATATTTTAATGTTTTATGTTGGGCTCATTTATATTATTGATTAAAAATAATTTTAAATTAAATAGTTTTATAATAAAATGATATTAACAGAGACGTTGATGTGGCATCGGATTTGGTTTTGTCAACTTTTTTATTTGTTATTGTTTTTTTTATTATTTTATTATTTTGATTTTTTGTTTTTCTAAAATTCATAACATAAATTTTGTAAGAAAAACTCATCATTTCAAATGCCATGTTGTAATTAAAAAATTTCTTTTGCTTTTTGTATTTTCTTTATTTTTAGTTTTTTTTTCATTTTTTACTTAGATTAATTTTAAAAAAATAGTGGATGTATTCACATGGCACCATATTTCACTTTTTTTGTCTTTCGTCTTTTTTAATAAATATTGCAATAAAAGAAAGCAATAAACCAATTTTTTAAGAAAAAAAATCAATGGAGATATGGAGGACAAAACAACTTCTATCCAATGGTTTTGATTTGTCTGGATCTCATAGGTTTTTTTTTTTTTTTAATTTGGGATCAGATTAATTTTTTTTTAAATCATGGGTAGGTTGAATGCAAGTTTATGGTGTTTCGTTCTGTCTAAGTTTATATAAATATATTTTATAATTTATTTAATTTTATATGTATATATATATTATATTGATAAAATAATTATTTAAGACTTTAATTTAATAAATTCACTTGGCATCTCCATTTTGGTTTTTTTTCTTTTCTTTTTCTTTATCATTTTTTAAAAAAAATTTTACTCATTTTTAATTGCATACATTTTGTAAGAAAAAAATCAATACATATAGAGATAACAAAACAACCCATATTTTATGGGTTTCGATTTTCTCCAATTCAATAGGTGTGAGTTTTTAAAAAATTCAAGGTCGGGTTAAGCTTTTTCTTTTTTAAATCGTAATCAAGTCGGAGTTGAGTTTAAGGTGTTCTGCTTTGGCTCAAGTACATATGTATAATTATATTTTTAATTATTTATTAGATTTTATATTTATATATTTGTATTATATTAATAAAATTACAATTTAATACCTTAATTTAATAAAAATACTATAGTTATTCATAATTAAGATGTATTCTATCCATCCATCTATTATATAAATTTTATTCACTTTAACTTCTGTTTAACTATTATTTAATATGTCGACATAGCACCTTATGTTTCTTTTTTTTTTTCAACTTTTTTTGGTTTTTTTTTAAATTTTTTAATTTTGGTAAATTTAAAAGAAAAACAATGTAGATATCTAGTTCGCATCCTAATTTGGTTTTTTTCTTTTTATTTTTTTAATTAGATAAATTTTGTAATAAAATATGCTGATGGATAAGAATGACAAAATAATTCATATTTAATGAGTTTCAATTCAACCTGATCTAATAAAATGTCACTTTTTTTTACAATCAAGATCAAGTTAAGGTGATTTGGATTTTTTTTTAAAAAAATGAGGTGAGGTTGGCAATGGGTTAATGGTGCTTTACCCCAACCCACCTTAGGATATATATATATATATATATATATATATATATAAGTTTTACACTTTTTTGTCTCCACATGTTGCCTTTAACTCACTTTTTTTTATTCTTTTCATATTTAATAAATTACTTTTTAAATTTATGGTGACATTTATTTGATATTATTAAGTTAAAATATTTTTTCTTTTTTTAATTAGTAATTTTGTATAAAAATATGTTGAATGAGGTATACACGTGGCATTTGATTTAGTACTTTTTATCTTTTTATTATTTTTTTAAATTAAAAAATTATAACGAAAAGGGTTAGTGTAAATATCCATATAGAATTCTATTTTGATTCCTTTCTTTTTTCATTTTTTGCTTAGCTTTTTTTTTTTAGCTTTTTTATAATTTATTATAAATATTGCAAATCTATCAATATAATAAATCTTTCAATCCATCCATATAATAAATCTTTGAATCTATCCATCCTTACATTGAATGTTGTAAGATTTTAAGCAATCAAATGTCTAAACTATTTGTTTTTACTTTTTTACTTTTTTGCTTTTTTATTTTATAATTAGATAAATTTTGTGAGAAAATAATGGCAATAGAGGAGTGTACATAACATGTTGATTTATTTTTTCCTTTCATAGTTTTTTTATTTTTGTTTTTAATGTATTTTAATTAGATAAAATTTAAAACAAAATGAGCCAATTGATAATAATAGCAAAACAATCAATATTTGATAGGTTTCAATTTGTCTTAATTAGATATAAGTAATTTTTGTAAAAAATTATCTTCAGTCAAGTTAAGTCAAGTCATTTATTTAGGAAAGCGAAAACGGGCTTGAAGGAATTTAGAATGCTCTACTCAAGCCACCTTATGACATATATAAAAGTAAAATTTTTATTATCTATTTAATTATATATATATTATATATATATATTAATAAAATTACTATTTGTTGTCTAAGATATTCACATTTTAAATTCAATTTGAATGTTTATATGACACCTTTAATTATCTTTTTTTTTATTTTTTGTTTATTTTTCTTTTTTATTATATTTTTCTTTTACCTTAATTTGAGATATTAACATTTTAAACTCAATTAGGATGCTCGTGTAGTACTTTAATGTGCTATTTTATCTTTTTCTTTTTTTTTTAAATTTTCA